CGATTGGAAGCCTTTGGCTTCTAACTCGTTGTTTGGGACAACGGGAATATCAACGGACGCTCCTCCTATTCTATGAATTTTAGTAGGGGAGAGAAAAAGAGTCCAAAAATTACTGTGTGTCAAACGATGTACACGAAAAATATTTAAATTATATTTTTCTTACCCAAAAAAAATTGTGTAATCTTGAAAAAATGTTTTTAAAGAAATTTTGACACACTTATTTTGAAACTGACTCACTAAAATATTTTAGAAAGAGGAAAAGGTAATTTTTTAACTGACTCAAAAATAATTATTTTTATCCCTCAGAAATTAATTCGTTTGTGCAGAAAATATTGTCATCCTTACAAAGATTCCTAGACTTAAAAAATAAAGAAGTCTCGGAGTCTTCAATTCACTTCAAAATTTCGACATTACGCATTTTCAAACCATTTTGGTATACCAAATTTTGATTCAATCTTGACCCCTAGATCTCACAATCCAAATGACCAGATGCATTCTTATTTATACCATAAGATTTCATTCTTAAATGAACCAATATATATATATATATATATATATATATATATATATATATATATATATATATATATATATATATATATATATATATATAATATATATATAGAAGAAAACCTTCCGATAGAACACGGACCGGAAGAAAGAAGAGAGCCGAGTCGCCGCCGGCCGCCTCCACCGCCGGACGCCGAGTTGCCGACCTGCACGGCTCCACCCTCCAGGTAATTAGTTATAGCTTTCCAATTTTGTAATTTTTATTTCTTAAATCTTGATTTTCTTTCATTATTTCATTTTTTTAGATTTAAAATCTAGGGTTATTTATTAGTTTTTAATTTGAAATCTTTTCTTATTTCATTCTTTGAAATAGAATGAATGAATGGTTCTGTATGTTATTTATTTGATTTGGATGAATTGATTTGAATTTGTTATCAATGATAATTATATATTTATATTAAAGAAAACTGAAAATTGAAAAAAAATAAATTTAAAACTGATAAATTGATGAATCGATATGAATTTATGATTTATAAAAAAATTAAAACTGAAAAAGAAAAAGACAATTAGAAAAAAGAAAAATTGACGAATTGATATTAATTTATGATTTATTTATTTATTTATTTGCTTGATTTTTTCAGTTTTTTATTCTTGATTTTACTTAGTAGAATTTATGAATTTAGATTTTATTTCAGAATTAATTCAATAGCTGTGGCTCCTAAACAATTATCCGGTAGTCAAAAAAGAAAAAAGAGAAAATGAGATGAAGAAATGAGAAAGTCTCAAGCTGGAGCTCTATATAAATTTATGAAACCTAATGCTGAAGATGAAGAAGTAGAAGTAAAAGAGATGGAAGAGCAAGAGCATCTACAAATAGAGCAAGGACATGTTGAAGAGGAAAATTTTAGGGCCTTTTAGGATAAGATTTTTAGGGCCTTTATTCTGCTTCGGCCCAGGCTGATGAATCCTCAGGACTGGCCCTGATAGAGTCCGCCTCTTCCCCAGCACATCAACGCAGTTCTACTCAATAATCTATTTCAAGAGTAATGATTCTAAAACTTTGATTTCAAATTTTACTCTTCAAATTTGTATCGAATAGACCAAAGTCTTGGAATTTCTAAGCTTCTAATCTTGCAAATTTTGTTGTAGGATTAGGCGAACGGTGTTTTGTATTTTTGAGAAAAGAGACCGCAGAAATAACTGAGACTTGACATGTGAATTTATGAAGATTTGCTTGCTTCCCCTAGGCTCCTTATTATTGTAATTTATCAACTTATTTTTTTACAAGATTATAAAGTAATTGAAGTTGGACGTAATAGGTTCTGTTTTTCATTATTTTGTTTTTGTATATCACTGGTGTTTATGTTTTTGAGAGGGACTGTGGGTGAGGGATGAGAGGAACAAATTTAGCCATTTGATCAAGTTTGGACCTATAATTCTGTGCAACATGTAGTCAAACAAATATCCCTCGGTTTAATGCTAAATCCCTCTGTCCCATTATATGTTGCCTACATTGATTAGAGACATTATTTAAGGAATGAGAAAAAAAGTATTCACCTTTCAAAATTATCCTAGGCCGCTGATTCCTTACTAATACGTCCTTCAACCGGTGAACCCTGCATTCAGGGTAGTTCATTTCATCCGAAAATGGCGTTGGTCTCAGAAGCAGTTCCCAAGTTCACGGCTGACGCCCTCCGCGCAGCGGCAAAGCAATCTGAAGCGTGCCGAACAGTTTCTCTTAGGCTTCGTCGAGCTATCAAAAAATACATCAGAGGTTTACACCAATCCATCTCTCTCTCTCATTCTTTTCCTGTTAGTATCTGCGACAAAATTTGTTTTCTTTTTCAGAAAAAGAAGACCCGCATATGAGGAGAAAGGTGTTGAGGCTATCTGAGTCTTTTGGCCACNAGTGCATATGGTGATATCGGTCTGAAATATCAAGAGGATGAGGCTACAGCTTATGTGGTTTCTCGGATGCCTGCAGTTTATTCTGCTTTGTATAGAGTGCTTAGTGAGGTAAATGGGACATGGAAATATATGAAAAGTTTATGTCATAAAAGCTTTTAGATGTCAGAATTGATACCAGATATAAGCTTTAACTTGCTAATGTGGAGGAGATTTTATGAACTTGTCATGGTCTTTTAGGTTAGGAGAAGAGTGCCTGATTTTTCTCCTGCTAAAGTATTGGATTTTGGTGCAGGGACTGGTTCTGCATTCTGGTGAGAGAAATTTAAATTTTGTGTTAACAATTATTTGTTGATGTTATTTATATTTTCCTATGATTTTGGCATGGTTATTGAATGAGTTTTTATGGCAGGGCAACAAGAGAAGTGTGGCCAAAGTCCTTGCAGAAGGTTAACTTGGTGGAGCCATCACAGTCCATGCAACGTGCAGGACAGAGTCTTATAAAAGGTAATCCTTCTCCAATAGTATTCTGGACATTTGACACTCTTGGAGACACCCTACCATAGTATTGATAGTTATGTTTCAAATCCCTGATAAAGTCCCCACAGATCCAATTGATGTTTTCTGTTCTTACTCTTTCAACACGCCGACGCTACTCTCGTGGAATTCTACTGGGTTGTTGTTTTGTACTCTTCCAACAATTGAATGAAGTAGCCATATACTATCACTAGTGTTAACCCCGTGCAGCGCCGCCCAGGCTCGTATTCATTCTAAATTTTTGACATTGTTTAAATATAATTCTATTTATTTTAATTTTCAAATAATGATATAATAGATGTTATATGAATATTTTTTTAACTATCAAATACTATATATTTGTTGTAATAAAAGTTTTATTTTTAAAATAGATGTAGATGTATTAAAATTTCTATTTTCATATACATATGACACAATGCGCATGCATAACGTGAACAATTTTATACAAAACTAATGGTCATTGAATGAAATAATAATAACATTTGTTTTAGTTAACAATAAATTGAAATAATAGATGTTAAACGGACCAATTAAATAATGACACATAATTTATATAATACGTAGTAGTTGTTTAAAAAATGCATATGTGATAAAATTTATATAATAGTTTTTTTAGATTTATAAAATAAAAGAAATGGTAAACAGTTTGAAAAATTATATACAATATAATGTTACTTTTTTAGTTAATAAAGTTTACATTACGTTTCAGAAATAAGAATAACATAATTATGCATACTAAAAAATATGTTACAATAATGAAAAAGATATTTTTAAAATAGTTATAAAGTGAAAGATTTATAAAAAATTAATGAAATAATGATTATATATTTAATAGTAGAAAATGAAGGATTTTATAAAAAATTAACAAAAAGAATGGTTAATTTAAAGTAAGAAAGTGAACGGTTAAAAGAAGTCAATAAAAATAATGATTATTTAATATAAAATGTAATATGCACCCGTGGCATGACACATATGGCATGGTGTGCACCTGTGGCTCGAAAATTTTTATATAAATTACTGGTCATTGAAATGAAATAATAATAAAAATTGTTTTAATTAATAAAAAGAAAATAAAAAATATCAAATGGACCAGTTGAATAATGGCACATCATTAGATATTGCATATGTGGCATGTGCCACATGTTATGCTATTATAAACCAAATTCACTTTGTTTAGCTTTTTGAAAAAATATATCATAAACTAAAGACTGTAATAGGATAATTTTTTTGAAATATATTTTTTAGTTAATAAAGATGCATATGTTATAAACTTATGTAATAGTTTTTTTGAAAAGTAATAAAATAAAATAATTTGTGGACAGCCTAAAAGAATTATACATACAGTGTTGATTTTTTAAATAATAAAGTTTATATAAGTTTCTTAAATAATAACAAAATGATGCACATACTTTTAAATAGTGAAAAAGATATATGTAAAATGTTTAGAAAGTGAAGGGTTAATCTAAAATTTATGGTTATTTAGTGTAAGAAAGTGAAGGGTTTTATTAAAAATTTAATAAAAATAATGTTAATTTATAAATGGTGAATTGTTTTAAACATTTATAAAAAAATCACAAAAAATTTAAAGTTTGTATAACATTTTTAAAATAAATAGTATATTTTGCATTTAAAAATATGTTACAATGTTGAAAATATAATAACAATATTATTATTCAAGTTATAAAGTGAAAGATTTTATAGAATATAATAAAAATAGTGATTATTTAATATTAAAGCAATATACTAGTAGACTAAGTTTGGTAGTTCCTATCTTGGTGCTAGCTAGGCGAGTTGTAGACCTAGACTTAGCATCTAGACTTTCTAGACCATAGCTGTGAAAGGCCTGCCTAACGTGCAACAGGCTGCATGTGCTTTGCGTGCATCCAGCCATGACTACATTTCTGTCGATTGCATTCATAAATTTGAGTTTGGTAACTTCAGTTGCATATATATACTGATGATCACTAATATTACAGATCTAAAAAATTTGCCACTTATTCAAAGCTACAGCAGTCTTCTGGCATTAGCTCAGAATACTAAGAAGAAGACTGATAGGCAACACAACAACTACAACAACAGCAAGACAGATAGGCAACACGATCTTGTAATTGCTGTAAGTGAAGTGTTTTGTACTATGCTTTGGTTCTAAAGGAATCACCTGCATCCTATGAAGTGCTCTCCTTACAAAACCAGTATCTCATCTTTGGTATTACAATTTGCTGTGGATTTGCATTATGGAAATTGATATCGGTTTTCTACTGGTGAAGTCATACGTGTTAGGTGAAATACCATCCCTAAAGGACAGAATCGCCATTGTCCGCCAGCTTTGGGGCCTTACAGGAGATATTCTGGTATTTATACTTCGTTTATAATCAATCTTTTGTCCATGAAAAAAAATGATTTTATAAAATATTTATGGACATGCATTTTTTAACTTAGTGATAGGGTGCAGGTCCTAGTTGAACCAGGAACACCACATGGATCTAACATCATATCTCAAATGAGATCTCATATATTATGGATGGAAAGAAGGGTAAGTTTTTTTCATTTCTCTTATTGATAAAATAAGTGGTAGGAAGTGAGTAGCATTGAGTTTCTACATGGCCTTGAGCTATTTTTGATATTTGGACTGATTGCTTCATAGAGATCTCACAAATTAGAAGAGTCACCTGGCAAATCTTGTAAAGCCTTGACGACACACAAAAGTGGTGCATTTATTGTAGCACCTGTAAGTATTAGAATTTACATTTTGGTGCTCACTAAACTTTTATACAAATTGAGGTTGAAGTGGTTGGCTTGTTTGTTTTTTTCCAGTGTGGACACGATGGACCTTGTCCGCTGAGTAAGTCTGGAAAATACTGTCATTTTGTTCAACGGTTGGAGAGGACTACATCACAACTTACTGTCAAGGTGTTCCTTAAACCTATGTTTCACACTATTATCTTTTGTTGTCTTTATGGTACATTTTTATTCACCGCCGGGATAAGAATGTCAAATGGACTACACCTTGGCAGTGATATTTTACAATATTGTTGGATTAATAAATTGTGCAGACATGAATTCATTTTTCATGTTAAAGAGGGCTTTGACACTTGTTATGACATAAATGGGACATATGAGATATGAATGCTTTACATGTTCAATTTCTCTGTTATTGTTCAACGATTTGTTACATTCCTAGTTTTATTTAATCTACATCCCAAGAGAATGTTATCTTTGTCTTTCTTTTCTATGCTCTTTATCTCTTTTCTTGGTAGCGGTCCAGCGGTGCATCTCTTCGTGGCTTTGAAGATGAGAAATTTTCTTATGTTGTTTTGAGACGAGGACAACGGCCGAGGCAAGTACTTTTTTACTGCATAATTGATTATACACCCTCCGTTTCTTAAAAAGTGTCAAATCTCATTTGATTCTTTACACTCCCAAGTTTAGCATTACTAAGGTTCAAAAGTCTTTTTTACCCTTCTTTACATGTATCAACATCATCTTTAATATCTCACCAACCTTTAACAATTGCACTCTCAAGGGCAAATTTGGAAAGTAATTCACATTCTTAGACTTGCCTAAAACTGTGCAAAATCTTCTCAAGAATCCAAAGGGTCGGAGGAAGTATTTGAACTGTTATATAATCCTGAGCCACATTATATTTTGAGTTACATTTTATGTCATCATTGCAAGTCCTGTTATTTTTTTATATTATAAAGTTGGACACGCCATTTTCCTTCCCCCCCCTCCCTCCTCTCTAAATGCTGATGGGAGAGGATTAGGAAAATTCTGAGTCCCTCAATAAAAATGTTCTCAACCAAACAAGAGGAAAGAATCACTTTGCCTTTTCCACACCCCTCCCGTCCCATCCAACCAAAATACCTTGAAGATTTCTAACTTTGTGTAATTTAGAATATTCACAGTGCAGAGCTCAACTTTTTATCTGTAGCCCAACTATGTTTTGAGTGTATATGCAACAATACGCAGTGCCTGCTTTAGAGATCTTTACAAGATGCATAGTTGCTGAACGTTAGATTTTACGGTTGCCTTGTTGAGATGAAAGAAAGAGTAATTGGATGCAAACTAAAATCCCTGCTGTGCAAGAGTCTGGGGAAGGGTACCACCTCAACGGTGTGAAGAAGGAAAACCTTACCTTCTACCCATAGTATTTACCTTAGAGGCTGCTTCCAGGACTTGAACCCAAGAGACTAATCGTTGTGTCAACACCAGAGTGAAATGTTATTGTTAATATATTTACAATTAACTTTAATCATCACTAAAATGAACATAAAATGATTTGCTTTATTTCATGTAGAGAAGCTTGGCCACTTGATGGTATGAAGTTTGAAACATTGGAGGAACAACATGCTAGAAGAAATGAAGAAGATTTAGAGATTAACTATGGTATGGATTAATAAATACGGAGTAAGTGTAAAACTCTAAGTTTTGCAGTAGTGGCTCTAAGTTTCACGCTTAGAGAAGCAATAAGGTCTCTTGATTTTCTTTGCCGTTTTTCGTCTTTGTATTCATTGCAGAGGACCAATTACCTTTAGAAATTGAGGAAGACCTGAAAGGAGAGGATCATATACCCTATGATTCTGATGATACAGAAGCAGACACCATTACAGATGAAGATGAGAGGGAGGAAGCAGCAGCTTCTGCTGGTCTTGGTACTGGTTGGGGAAGAATAATTTACTCTCCTATACGAAGGGGGAAGCGGGTTGAAATGGACGTGTGCCGGGCAACAAATGCAGAAGGCACGCAAGGCTCTTTTGATCGGATTATCGTTACGAAGAGCAAGAATCCAACAATGCATCGTCAAGCTAAAAGATCCCTCTGGGGAGACCTCTGGCCACTTTGAAACACCCTACACATGAAGAAACTATGCTATATGTTATCATCATTTGGGGCGTTTTTCTCTACAAATCAACCGAAGAAATTGTCCATCCAAAAAAGAAGTGGAGAACCGAACTTGTCGCGTAGGACTCTGATTTCATGTCTTCTCCCCACTCATCCCCTTGGCCTCCCTCACCCACAATCCCCACTTTGGGGTTATGTTGGGGATTTATGCCCTCTTAAGTGTTCCCTCTATCGCAATTGATATGTTCCCTCTTCATCAGACAGCACAGTTTTCATGTTATTATGAATGCCAGATTGACAAAAAAACATGAGCAATACCCTTTGTCTTTCCTATAAACAGCACATTTGTTATGATGTTCCTAACTTGTTTTGGCTCCCTAGGCTATGTTTGGATGGAGAGTTTTGGAGCAATACAGAGAGTAGAGTCAAGTTTAAGTTTAAAACATATAGATTTGACTTCCAAGTTCCAATGCATGTTTCCAATGTTCCAACCCTTGATAAATTAAAGGTGGAAATAAAATTGGATTTTGTCTTTTCTAATACGGCTTAATACGGACTTTAATTGATGTGGAAACATTTACGACAATATTTTTTTGCTAAGGGTTTTTTTTTTTGCAAGAATCTAATGAAACTATTCTGGATTATAATAAAGTAATTTTCTCATGAGATGTATTTAACTCATTCTATCAAATACAAAGTATATACTTTTAATGTCAAATATACTTTTGGTCCCTATAAAATAAGTGACTCTTGCTTTTAGTCCCTTTAAAATATACGGAGTATATTTTTTCTCCGTATTAAGTTGTCTGTGTAAGATAATAAATGTTTGGAATCTAAAATGATTTTGTTTTCGGCCCTTTCAGACCCCAACAAATAAACTCTAAATTTGTGGGATGTCCATTTGCAGAAGCAAAAATTTTACAATGATGAATTGGAAAAAAAAATTAGAGAGATAAAAAGCAAAAACTACTCTTTCCACAGGGATTTAAAGCATATTTAATTTTATTTTTTTAAAACTTTGTGACAAATTATATATGATGTAAAACACGAGAGGAAGGGATAGATTCTACAAAAAAAAGTACAACATGAAACGACAATCCTATTGAAATTTTCAAAACTTGGACAATAAGTTTACACTATTTTTTGGTACAAAATTGGACACTATTTTTTACTCGGCAAGAAACGGTATACTATAATAATAATATCATATATTAAATCTACTACGCTTTAGTTGATACTTGGTTTGAATCTTTGTTATGCATGTTAAATAGAATGAAGTGTAAAATAAAAAGTAAATTTGTTACAATAAAATTTCAATGGTGCCCGTGATTGTGAGAAATATGAACTAAATGGTATTACACCAAAGATGGAAGCAAGAATAACACACGGGGATGTAGCTCAGATGGTAGAGCGCTCGCTTAGCATGCGAGAGGTACGGGGATCGATACCCCGCATCTCCATGTTTCTATTGATTTTTGTCTTTAAAATCAATTCGTCACTATCCCACGTAAACATTTTCTTCGTTTCTTTACACAATACTCATTCGGTCTTAAAATTATTACCCAGCTTGTAATCTTTTGTTTTGTAGAATTTTTGATGTAGTTTTTAAATATATAAATTTTATTTTTTAATTTTGCACCTACAATCAAAGAAGTTGATTTGAAAATAAAGTCAGTCAAACCTCGTAAACACAAACGGGAAGATAGGTTTAGGACGGGGGAGTAGCATAACAAAAAATAGCACTCCTTCCGTCTCTATATGATTAACACATTTCCAAAAATGAGGTAAACTATTAAAAAATCAATTCGTCACTATCCCACGTAAACATTTTCTTCGTTTCTTTACACAATACTCATTCGGTCTTAAAATTATTACCCAGCTTGTAATCTTTTGTTTTGTAGAATTTTTGATGTAGTTTTTAAATATATAAATTTTATTTTTTAATTTTGCACCTACAATCAAAGAAGTTGATTTGAAAATAAAGT